GCAAGGTGGGGGGAGGAAGGGGAGAGGGGGAGAGGTCGGGGCAGGGAGGTCGGGACGGGGGACGGGAACGGAGAAGGGAAAGGTCGGGATCACGTCAGGAGGTCGGGATGGGAGACGGGTTGGGATGATGTCGCGGGAAGGAAGTCGGGGAAGGAAAGGGGAGAGGAAGAGGTCGGGATGAGGTCAGGATGGGAAGGGAGTTGGGATAGAGGAGGAGGGAGGAGGAATCTAGGCATAGGGCAAGGTTAGGGGAGGAAGGGAAGAGAGGGAGAGGTCGGGACGGGGAGGTTGGCATGGGAGGTCCGGACGGCGAGGTGAGAGAGAGGTCGGGATCAAGTTGGGAGGTGATGCGCGACGATGTCGGGATCGGGGGAGCAAGAGGAGAGAGGGAGAGGTAGGGACGGGGAGGTCGGGATGGGAGGTCGGGACCGAGAGGTCGGGACCGAGAGGTCGGGATGGGCGACACGAATAGAGGAGGGAGAGGTCGGGATGAGGGAGGGAGAGTTGGGACGATGTCGGGGGAAGGAAGGAGAGGGGGAGAGAGGTCGAGACGGGGAAGGGAAGGTGGGGGGGGCGGGATGAGGTCGGGATGGGATGGGAGTCGGGATAGAGGTTGGGAGAGGTCGGGACGGGGAGGTCGGGATGGGGAAGTGAGAGAGAGGTCGGGATCAAGTCGGGAGGTGACGCGCGACGATGTCGGGATCGGGGGAGCAAGGGGAGAGAGGGAGAGGTCGGGACGGGGAGGTCGGGACCGAGAGGTCGGGATGGGAGACGCGAACAGAGGAAGGAGAGGTCGGGATGAGGGAGGGAGAGTTGGGACGATGTCGGGGGAAAGAAGGAGAGGGGGAGAGAAGTCGAGATGGGAAGGAAGGGAAGGTGGGGGGGGCGGGATGAGGTCGGGATGGCATGGGTGTCGGAACAGAGGAGGAGGGAGGAGGAGTCTAGGCATGGGATGAGAGGTCAGGACGGGGAGGTGAGGGAAATGTCGGGATTAAGTCGGGAGGTCGGCACCGGGAGGTCGGGATGGGAGACGCGAACAGAGGAGGGAGAGGTCGGGATCAGGGAGGGAGAGGGGGAGAGGTCGGGACGGGGAGGTCGGGATGGGAGGTTGGGATGGGGAGGTCGGGATGGGAGGTCGGGACGGGGCGGTGGGACAGAGGTCGGGATCAAGTCGGGAGGTGACGCGCGACGATGTCGGGATCGGGGGAGCAAGGGGCGACAGGGAGAGGTCGGAACGGGGAGGGCGGGATGGGAGGTCGGGACAAGGTCGGGATGACGGAGGGAGAGTTGGGA